GATTATGGATGACGATGGTAATGATGATGATTATGATTATGAATCAGAATGATGAGGATGATGATATGATAATAATTATGAAGAAGGAATGTATTAAGATGATGGAGAGGATGATGATGATAATGATAATGTTTATCTTGATAATTGAGGATTTTAATATTTTTCTGGATGAATATGTCGATAGAAAATGCCGATGGAGAATGATAATGATGCTTTAGAATGAAGATAATGCTGGAGTGTGGCAATGACCGTGGTTATGACAGTGATGGAAGATTGCGATATTGGATAATTATAATGAATGATGATGATAAATATGCTGATAATGATGGTGATGAATGATAATGGGGATGATAATTGTGGATGATGATTTATGGAAGTAGTTGTTGTTGTTGATGATGATGAGGATGAGGATGATGATGATGATGATGTAAGGAAAATATGTCAGTACATGTCAAGACTTAAATATCTGACTAACAAACTGTACTATGCAGAAATATGTTTTTCTTATATAAGAATTTCACAGACCAAAGTGTTGCAGAGATATTACCATTTCATATTTTTCATTTTGAAATTTAAGAGCAACCCTGGTTATTATTGGGTTTCATGCAAAAATTTATATTAGAGCATATAAACAATTTGTATGAGTTCTGAGCAATTTAACCAAAAGTTAAGGTCAAACTTGGATTTTGTACCCCCACATCATGTTCTACCACAATGTCAAATTGAAAATTTGTACTACTATAACATCTTAATAAACGTGTGTCAATGCCTAATAACAAACAGTATTTTTTATTTTAGAAATATGACTTTAAAGCCCCATTCCCGGCAAAATTTCAATTTTTTTTTTAAATCTAATTTTTGTATAATGTTATAAAGATTTATAAATATAATACGGAATTGCTAGTTTAACTGAATTTAGAAATTCCTAAGAATGAAAAAAATGTAAAATAAAACTGAAATTTGATTTTTTTGTGTTCCACACAAAAAATAAATGCGGATGAATTTTCATGTTTGATTTTGCGACAGGTCGTGAGAAGAAATATCGTAGGCGCCGAAAACATTAGCCTATCCAACGCTGCTAGGCTAGGCCTAGCCTTACCTCTATTTAGGTTCTGTTATCACACATAAAAACGGCCGACATGATATTTTCCGTTGCTAGTAATGACACTTGAGTAATATAATATTTCATAGGAATTATTTCAAATTTGTTAAAAAACTGATTCTGACTGAAATTTTGACACTTAAACAAACATATCTCAACCTAACCGAACGAACGCATTGTGCGAGATGCGAAGTACAAAAACTAATCTCACTAGAGAGGGCGCACTTTATTGACTGTATAAAGTATACATAAAAGCGAGAGTATTCAGTGGATGCGATCTACAACCTCTGAATTTGCCTAGTAACGATGAATTCGTCGAGAAAATGGTAATATTTTATGAGAAATAGTCTGTATTTCTCTTTTTTTTTAATTCTTTTGCCTAAAACTAAAATTCATGCCAATATTTTTCCATGATTTATAATAATTGGAATAATGCAAATGCATATTTTCTAAAAAAAAGTCAGTTTTTAGTGAAATTTTTGCCGGGAATGGGGCTTTAATATATTTGCCCTAAAACATGATTTTAAAGGAATTCTCAGTGAGCATTAGTTTTCATGGAAAAATTGTATTAAAGCAAAAATAAATGTATGTCTTCTAAATAATTCTACACCAAAATTTCTATAGACCTAAGTGTTGCAGAGATACGACTATTTCATATTTTTTCCGGAAAAAATGATTTTTAGGTAAATCTTGATAAGTATTTGGTTCCATGCAAACAGTTGTATTAGAGCGAATATAAATGTATGTGTTCTGGGCAATTTGACACAACAATTATTTCAATAGTACAAAGCATTACAGAGATATGGAAATTTCATGATTTTTTAAAAATAATAAACGTTAAAAATTTGGTCAAATGTCAGAGGGGTCAAATCAGATATCCAGTAACTTGGATTTTATACGCCCACATCATGTTCTATCACCATGTCAAAGAGCAAAATTTGTATTCACTACAATAAACATATGTCAAGTCCTAATAATAAATTGTATTATTCAGAAATATGGCATTTTCACATATATTGCCCAAAAACACGATTTTAAAGATATTCTCAGTAAGCATTAGTTTCATGGAAAAATGTGTATTAGAGCAAATATAATAGTATGGATTCTGAACAATGACACCAAAACAATTTCTGTAGACCTAAACGTTTCAGAGATATGACCATTTGATATTACCCAAAAAACATGATTTTTAAGAAAAATCACGATAAGCATTGTTTTCATGCAAAATTTTGTATTAGAGTGAATATAAATTTATGCGTTCAGAGCAATTTGGCACCAGAATTATTTCAATATACCAAAGCGTTACAGAGATATGACAATTCTTGTTTTTTTTTAATAAAAAAAGATAAAAATTGAGGTTAAAGGTCAAAATCAGATTTCCAGTAGCTTAGTTTTGGTATCCCCACATTATGCCCTATCACCATGCAAAGGATATACTTGTATCCGCTACTTTAACATTGTTTCCCTATAGGGACTGGACTATAGAGGAAAGAACAGGAGAAAGGACACAGCGATAAGGGACGCTGGAATTAGTGAAAAGGGTGTAAAACAAGTGATTATCTATACGGACCATTTTTTAATCTTCTACAATAACGATGGAGTGTATAAATGACCATGACAGAATTTTATAAAATGTGGTTTTCAGCTTGTGACGAAAGAGGAATCAAACAGCAGCTCTCGTAGGGTAGGAAATCCAGTTAAGGCTGGCTCATACCAATCTCGTGATGAGGTTAAAATTATAATTGCTGAATGTGTGGATTGCCGAGTGGAACCATCTGCTTACGTAAGCGAAAAGTTCATTTTAAATTTTAACATCTTCAGTATAGGCCTATATGTAACAAACCATGACTACTGAATTGTTATGAAGCCGCTTAGGTCCGACGTAACACCCACAATTCTTTGTAATCTTCAAAACTCTTGCACTTAATTGTCTAATGTCAACTCACAGGCTTGCTCTTTGGGAATGAAGTGATCATAGAAAAACCATTCTTTGTAGTGATTGTTTTATATTAAATACATAAAATTCAATTTAAAACGAATAACCAATTTTTGTATTCTTAAGACGATTTGTGTCGGCAATGTTGTTTCTGACTTGGGATATGTTTTTCGTCAATTTGTGTTGGAATGTCCTGAGGGATCCACCGATAAAGCATTCCTAAAGTTTCAGGTGAATGTTTGTGACAATATTGTACATTTTGCACAAGTAAAAGCATACTGGAATTCCATGGACACACACTTGGCTGTCAGATGTGTATAAGAGACAGGTAATATTGTTAGCTGGGTAACTGGTGTGTTACCACTATGATGTAGAAATGAAGTACCTTATTTATGAGAAGATGATTATTTATTATTAAAATGTATACAGGGAAAAAATGATTTGCAAGAGCCAGAGTTCACATCTTCGCCGTTGTCCCAGCCTATTCTATCATTAGAATTACGCCGTGAACTTTCCATTCAGCTTGACGTTCTGAGGGAATCGCAGAGTCATGGCGAAGCAGAATTGAGGCTTTGTGACTATCGGGGTCTAGCAAATTTGATGGCAATGTCTGAATGCTACATAAACTGGCTCGGATCTCCCAAGAACTGCCAATCAAGTACAAGTCCGACTATTATCCTCTTGAATAAATGGGAGATTCATTGCAGAAAGAGGCAACTGACAAATCACGAGGCTTTAAATGAGTTGGAGGCATATTTAAAGACACTCCAACACAATACATGTATTAAGATAGTTAATGAGTACACCAAAAGTATGTATAGGTCTAAGGGAACGTGCAGGTACACAAATGGTATTAAACTATTTGATAAGTATACAAAAAGTATGTCTAAATCAACGGAAAAGAGTGTAGGCCTAAGAGTAGCACGACGATACTCTGTATGTACGACTAAGTCTAAGGAAACGCATCATAGTGTAAGTGAGCCAGAGGGGGGTTTTGAATGCGAATACAGAAATGGTATTAAGATATACACGGAAAGTATGTCTAAACCTAAGGAAAAGAGTGATGGTAACGTACGAGCACGTCGACGGTACTCTTGTGTTCTGTAGGTCAGTAACACTTTTAAGTTGTTAAATTACAAGTTAACGTCCGATGTCGTAGCACTACATACAAACAAAATCAATCAATTCAAAATCTGTATGTATGCCATAGATCTTTTATATTACAGTAAGGTGTTTTAATTCTTTTATGATATTATTACCTATGCACATATAAATCATATTGTTGTATTTAAGTGATTTTATATTTGCAAGCACGTGCATGTTTATGTACATCTGCTTTTATTATTATTCTGGGAGTGTCGATAAAGTACAGAAAGTACTGTAGACTGTATGCATGTACTGTGGATACTTACCCTAATATAATTTCAAACTTTTTCCTTATTTCAATTGTTTTTGCTTTTTTCTTTGTTTCATTGATTTTTTTATGTAGTGTGTATTGCTTAAGAACACACCGCATTATATTTGCGGGTGCTGCCGATACGAAGGCATGTTCAAATGAATAACAACAACAATTTAAAAAAGTCAAAATAACCAAAGTAGGCCTACCAAGTATCATTTGACACAGTTTATATTATATTAGTGTCATTTGAATTGTACATTAAATTAAAATTATACTAATTGTGTCTATTATTACGGTGTTGTTCTGTGATTTGTTTTTAATTTTGTAAATTATAAACAGTTTATATTATATTAGTGTCATTTGAATTGTACATTAAATTAAAATTATACTAATTGTGTCTATTATTACGGTGTTGTTCTGTGATTTGTTTTTAATATTGTAAATTCAAACTGTATGTAATTACCATGTTCTTAACAGGTGTATATGCATCTTTAAATTCTTGGAAGTTGAATTTTTTAACGCTTCTGAGAACTGAACTTCATCATCACCAAACAACAGAGTAGCTGCATCAGTTTAGCCAACTAAGCTAACATGTTCTTATAATTATCAACTTACACCTCCACTCCCTTATCTATCGTTAAGATTTTTTTTTATTTCACCTGTATTTATCTTCGTTACATAAACAGACATCAGTTAGAAGACACGTGCCATGCTCTTCATCTGTACATAACGCCAAAACTATTAGCTAAAAAAGATAAAAGGGGTTAATGTACCCACAAGTACTTTCCTTTTACTAATCTATGACATAATAAAAATGACATATCGATTTTTTGAAACATATAGTCCTAAGTATGATACTCTTTACACAAAATTTGTTTGAAGTAAGCAATAAAATCTTCTATGTTTCCCTGACGTTTTAGCGATATTGAATATTATGAAGGATATAAAAAAAATGCAGTTACAATATTACTTTCTTACCAAATTCTTCACATGTATCGCCTTCCCAACCAACATTAGGCCTACACCGACCGAAACCGGACACACACTCGCCATTTATGCAATTCGGAACACATGAACCTAAGTACAAGATAATATATTTCATTAAAACATTATACCAGGCTGCGTGTGTATACCGTACCTTATATATCATTTTACTGGAAAATCAACGTTGTGCAAAAATGCCAAATCTTGTAAGTATGTTTTGAGGAATTTTTCAGTATGGAATAATTACCATTTCTACAGTCTTCACCAGACCACCCAGTCGACCACTGTGTCGACAACAATAATCATGATTCTGATCACAATAATGATGATAACAATAACATTAAAAATTTTAAAAAATAGCAATAACTATAGCAATGATAATAACAATAAAATTAACAATAACGTTAAAAATAGTCTTAGAATATTAATAATATTTATTATTATTATACAATGATATTACTACTTACTAATACTAATAATTATATTAATATTATTATATTATTATTTATATTAATATCTTCATTATTATTACTATTATCAATAGAAATATTTTAATGATAATTGAAATATTATTCGACTGATGTAAATATTTAAAAAAATAAAATTAAAAAAAATATTATCATTAATCTGTTTACTTTATCCTATTAATGTTAATAATAATAATTAGGCCTATAATAATAATAATAATAATAATAATAATAATAATAATAATAATAATAATAATAAAACAATATTATTATTATTATTATTATTATTATCGTCATCATCACATCATCATCATCGTCATTGCTTGCTTTTGTCCCAGTGTCGGTCCGCAAAAAGTAAACTCCATAAATAGAATTGCACTCACTTACTTAAAAACAAAAACAAAAACAATTTCATTAAGATAGACAATTTCATTATATCAAATTAATTTCAAAACATACACCAGAACAACTGAGATTTAATCGATTAAATAAGCCTTTGAAAACCCCTAAATTGTCATGTTTTTGGGGGGTTTCGACCCCGGAACACTTTCGAGAGATCTTGAGCGACGTCTAACCACGCCCACTTTTTTCGTCGGGGACCTCAGACCCTCGTCGGGCAAATCCTGGCGCTACCACCACTGAACAGACCGCCACTTAAACAGATACAAGACAACTACAAACCATATTAAAATACTTAAAAACACCGAACAACCACCAAACAGAAACGGATTATTTTACTATAATATATCAAAGTTCTTTTTGCATCTCATTTTTATTTAAAATATAACAAAAGCTCGTCTATATATAATGGTAGTGAATTTCCTTAATAAAATTTATGGTCATGGTAAAATTACGAAATTGCGCATTAGAACTGCACATAGGCTTCAGACACAATATCTTGTCAAATCTCATCTGTAGTTCGTATTTGATGGTATATGAATCATCCAGCTCATCGTCCACATGAAAATTGGAATAATTCCGCGACCAAGAATAATATAAACCACCATTTGCATTTGAATTCTCAATTTTCCCTACGAAATATGGGTTAGATATTTAAACAATTGAAAATTGTCTTATTGAAATTGCTATAAACCTATTCAACATTTAAAGCAAATGACAATGTTGTTGACAACAGTAGGCCTATATCATTCTTCTTACATCTTTCAACGAAATCCATTACACTATCATGATGATAGAAGGCGACACTGGTCTATTAAAAATGTTATAAACATACTATTCAACAGTTGAGGCAAATAACAATGTTGTTGATAACAATATAACATTATCCTTACATATTGTAACGAAATCCGTTACATTATCATGATGATAGAGGGCGCCGTCTGATCCCACAAAATCATTGTCTGGATCATCCATGAAGCCACATAGACCATCCGTATTATCGATAAAGCTGGCAGTCGGTGTCAGCAAATGTGTTAAGGTACAATCTTCATATTTTCTCACTGAATTGCACTGCGATTCCAACAGACACGCTTGTTGTTGTGAAAAATAAACAGTTTGTGAATGTTGAAAATAATTATGGAAAGGTTAAAATTACATTTTTAGATCTACATTTATGCTTTGAATTTTTTGTATTATTGCTTTAGCAACTTTCATATTATCATTTGTACATACTAATTTCTATATATAGGCCTATAGGCCTACTTACCATAAAATATCGTTATAATTAGAGGTTATGATTTTTTAAACATGTATTGTAACACCTTTGAGCTTTAAAATTATTTGTATAACACTATAAGTTCATTTACGCAAGGTGTTCAACCTGTTTCCCATTTTGCTTCAAGTTTATTTACCAACGATTAATGAACATAACAGTAGGGGCCTGCAATTAAAATGTTGGGTAAACCAGAAGAGCAAAGCTCGAAATTTGGTCACCCTATAGTGCAATACATTTACATTTTACAAAATAAAAAGACAAAACAAAATGGGTGCAAGACAGATATAACATATTTTAACGGACACCACAATAAATTATACATTTACATTTGATAAAATAAAAGACAAAAACAAATGGATGCAAGGTAGAACTGAACATAACATGACACCACAATTAATTAATGTTGACCCACCAAAGGTTAAAAGAATCATGAAATGCATAAACTTAAATAGCCTAATAAAAAGTATATGAATAACAAAATGATAATTGAATTTCTAAATTAAAGATAAGGTATACGATATTGTCCTAGGTTTAAACTATATTCAAATCGGATCCGAATGAGCAGGACATAGAACACTTATCTGATTTGTACTGAAATGCCAGCATCATAGTCAGACTAGTTGAAGAACTGTCATGTTTCAGAGAAATTTGGACATCCAATAGTACTGAAGAATTTGCCAATTGAAGTTTTATCCCGCTACTTATTTTCAGTATTTCTTCCTTCCAGCCTATTTGGATAGGAACGCTAAGTGTGTAAATCAATAATTAAACATTACAGACTAGTATGCCACCACTGCAAGCATGTTATAAATAACTTGAGATCAACAATATTCCATTATGCTTCACAAATGCATTCTGTTGTATTTTCATATTATTTTATGTTTTTATTTATTTATTTATTCATGTGTTTATTTGTTTGTTTGTTTGTTAGTTAGTTTGTTTGTTTGTTTTTGTTTATTTATTTAATGATTTATTTTTTTATTTTTTCTTTTATTGATTAAATAACTAGCTTCCCGTAACCCAGGGTGGGACCCTGACAGGATAATTTTTTTAACTGATAAAACGACATTAATGATTATATAATTCATCAAATTTTAGTTAGACTTACAGATATAAGGCATGATCAAACAGTTGCTAATGTGGAATTATATTATTTTATTTATTGCAATTCATGGACTTTATTCGTGATAAATTAGATTTTGGGGTTAAATAAATTAATATTAACCATGTCGCTATTATCCGGTATCTTACTTTATAAACAAAAATACCATCTAATATAACAAGATCCCAGCAAACACAAAACGTTCTTATAATGTTCGCGAACGTTGAAGTTAAGTAGGCCTATGTCACAAAACAACGTTCACACAACGTTGTAAAAACGTTCAACTTTGTGACGTTGTGTGAAATTAGGTTATACGTACTTATGGTTCTACAAAATAATGTTTTTATCACCAAACTGTAACGTTGTTATAACGTTCTTAGAACGCAATATTGTTAGCTGAGGAGCATTTGTACATTTGTATAATTAAACATTTCGTCAAAGTGACTATTGTTGGCACGCTCATATAACATAATTATTCATATATTCGAGCACTAGACTCTAAAGAGTCGTACGTTTTCGTTATAATATTGTGAAATTCCATATTTCATAATTAAGAATATTTAGGCCTACGTATGATAATTACTGGAGATATAATTGGAATCAGGTAGTGCAAAAAGTCCGGTCGTGTTTCTTTCCATTATGTAGTAGTTGTGAACTCCGAAATTAAAACATAGTGCTTATCAATGGTAATTTTGTAAACAAATGAGTAGTTGCTGGTCGTAATGACTGAAATTTATAATTCTCTTTAAACGAGAAATTAAACGAGAGCATCCTGAGAGTTGTTTATATGTCAATGTTTTATTTACTTATATCCACTGGTACTGTATTATGTTTACACAAAAATGAAGTTTTCTGTGCCTAGCATTATGTTTAGTCTTCATTCTTTGGCAATCCCTGTGATTGTGGAGATAAATCATGGTACACTATTGTCTAATTAGAGTCACTCTATTGCATACTTCCGCCCTCTGTCTGGATACCCAGGCAATCCGCAGGCACAGACAGTGTGTGGGTGATTCCATTACTTTATGCTCAAGGATAAATGCAAAGAAAATTTATTTTAGTGACCTTGAACTTTGACTGTTACTTCTTAAAAGTTAATTTTAATCATCTTTTTCTTAGATTATTAGGTAGCATTCCACTAAATTATATGATGATCCATTCCTTAGTTTTTGCGTTGCTAACAGACAGACAGACAAATAGACAGACAGGGGTAATACATAACCTCCTTGGCCGAGGTTATTATGTCGTAGTACCGGTAATATTTACAACTGCCTACTGAGGGAGTGATTTATTTGAATTCAATAATGGTATGGGTTGTGTTCAGTATGCTGTTACGAAAAAAAAATATTGTAACATTTAGGCCTAGTATTTGTATGCCATTTTGTATTTTCACTGTTAGAAAATAAAACATGGCAGTGGAAAAATAAGAATCTACCCCTGAATCAGAATTTAAAATGACACCGTTGTCCATAAATGATTTTCAATTAACCAAGCTTTATTCCAGACACCTGTATATAAATGTTATGGTACAGTGTAATAATAAATGCGCATTGAAGGCACCAGCGGCGTTCCATAGTTCATCAACGACTGCACAAACGGTGGTGAAAAATATGTAACATACATGGTGCCGTGCCGTAGTGAATATCTCTGTAACACTAGCAATGGCAGAGGCAGTCAGAGAATCGCAACGGAAGTCTAAAAAGAAGGTAAACAAACTAAAAAATTCTCATTTGCTTTACGCAAGTGATCAGTATATTCACTCGCCCCAACCATGACTACTGGGTTAGTTTACCCAGGGTTGTCCACCACCTACAATAACTTAACCTGACGTTGAAATACTGTAGAGGGCAGCAACCATAAAAGTGTTCGATCATATTTTTTTTTTTGTACAAGGTTTATGTCGAAAGTCAATTTACCTTCGCGAAAATGGTATCGCCCAGGCTATTCTTTTGCATTAACGATTTTGCAATGTCTGGCTGCTTTTTGCAAAGCGTGGCTGACCTCGCCTCGCTGCCGGTCTGCAGCAGGATGCAATTGACCAGCGGCGTTCCATAGTTCATCAACGACTGCACAAACGGTGGTGAAAAATATGTAACATACATGGTGCCGTGCCGTAGTGAACATCTCTGTAACACTAGCAATGGCAGAGGCAGTCAGAGAATCGCAACGGAAGTCTAAAAAGAAGGTAAACAAACTAAAAAATTCTCATTTGCTTTACGCAAGTGATCAGTATATTTATGAGCTGTCTTCATTTCTTGTTACTGTAGGCCCTAGCCTAGAAGCTAGGCCTCTGTAGATCTAAGTTTTAGACTGCCACTCGTGTTGCAACTTTGTAATCAGTGGGAATTTCCCTTAATCAATTACACAATCAACAGTCTGGAGGCGTTGCGGTGTGTTCGTAGTTGGGAGTGCTTAGGCCTAGCCTATGCCAGCCTAGCCCTGGGCTTGTTCCCCATAGGCCTAGGCCTGGACCCATTTTTAAGGCGCTAATGTACTTTCGCACCTAACTTTTAATTCTTAATTTTTTTACCTCAATGTTTTTTCCAAGTCATTGAGAAGATTTTGTGCAATCTTTCACTCAGCATTTGCCATAAATTTAGGAACTTGATGTAGGCCTAGCCTAGTCTAGGATTAAAATTAAGGATTTTTAGGCCTAGTTCAGGCCAGGCCTAGGGTAGGGCCTATGGTGTCCTGATGTTCCAGCCATGTGATTATATAGCCTATAGGCCCTAATTAGGCAAGGCCCTTTCGAGACCCTAGGCCAAAATTGTGTTATTTATTGTTAAATGATCCAATAAATGGCTCTCTCCAAATAAGCTCCACTTTTGACAATTTTGAATACAAGTGAATTTGAGTCAACTCGGCCAAGTCAGCTCAGCTCCAAGTCAAATCTGCCCCATGTCAACTAAGAGCACAAATGGGCCAGTATCAACGACTTGCGTCAGTTTACAGGAAGCGATGTTTAGCCGAAAATTGTCAGTGTCTGTTCGCGGGATCACATGTATTTGGGATCTAAAAAATATATTATTCAACATTGACTAATCACTCAAACACCATGGAATAGTCAATAATATTTTAATCCCATGTGGCTTGTTTTCATCCAATGAAATAAGTAGAATATGGGGTTGTATATTGAATATAAAGTGCAACTTTAGATGAAATTTTCTAGTTTATTTATACTGATTTCACTGATTCCTAGATCACTTATTGTAACACACTGTCTTTTTCATTTACAGTATGCTAATATGGATTGTCAAAGAAAATCTATTGTGATAACCATGTACTCATTTTCCTCCTATTTTGTAGAAAAAAGAAAAAGATAAACATTTACCTCCACCAACCCTTGTTGAAGAGAACAATGATGAAGGGACTTTTTTAAAAGCTGATGACATTCCAAAAGTAGATGCAGATAATGACTCGCAAGAAGGGACGAGCCAACTACCAATTGATGGTCAAGAAGGTGCTATGGGCATACATTACTCAAACACTGAAAGAACACATGAACCTAATCAGGAGAAGGATGTTGATGAAAAGATTGTAAGAGATGAAAACATTATAGTAGATAATGCAACAGAGAATAATGAACCTAATACTGTTGAACATTCAAATGAAATCCCTTCTACAGACACTTCTGCAGATGTGGAAAAAGATAGTCAAGGTAATGTAACTGAAAATATTGCAAGTGCTCCCCCTGTGTCTATAGAATCTGCTGTTGTTTCAGACAATTTAACACCCTCTGCTCCACCTGTTAGTGTCGAAAGTGAAATTGCTTCAGAACAGTCTCAGGTAGGACTTGAGAATTGTACTTCAAATCAGATCGAACTAGACACCACACATGAATGTGTGGAGGATGTCACATATTCTGTGGCAGATATAAGAGTTCCACTGGCAGATGTCAGTGATCCTATAGCAGATGTGAGAGATCCTGTGGCAGATGTGAGAGATCCTGTGGCAGATGTGAGAGATCCTGTGGCAGACATGAGAGATCCTTTGGCAGATGTTGGAAATCCATTAGATATCAGAACAAATGAAGCAACTGCTTCAGAAGTAGTTTCAACTAATTCTGAGCGGACAGTTAATGGGGTTATTACAACCTTGAAGGATGAAGGTATCAGGACGCACCAGCGTTTGCATCCGAATCTTATGAGGCAACAGAGCCAAGCAATGCTGCCATTCACTGATGATGAACTTACAAACTATTACTTCAATCCCATGCTACAGCACCATGAGTTATATGTTGAGAGCTTTGTGAAGGTAATAAAAAAAGAGTATAGAATGGCAAGCGGTCTGACTCTCAGGGTTTCTTTGCATCAAAATCCTATTTTGAAAAGTACTCCCATGAACTAGAGGGCATCCTTCAAAAAGGAAGATATTTCGTATCGAACACGCACTGCATGTAAAGAATGCCTCTTCAAATTTTAAACTCTATTTGAATTCTTATTGGGTGCCCCCTAATTCGTGGTAGTAGGCCTACTTTTTTTCTTTCATTGCGTGCATGCAAAATCAAGACAGTTGCACCTCTTGCCATTCTTTACTTTTTGGTAATTATAGTGAAACATTTGTAACCAGTGGAATAGGGCCCTGGTGATGAGGTGGGTACGCAAAAGTGAAGTTGGGTAGGCTCGATGATTTTGACAGGGCAGTGCCTTTTTTGCATTGAAAAAAATTAGTGAAGAGGGATAGACTCATGGGGATGGGGGGGGGGTGTGCAATCTTCTTTGGGGGAATGTTCCCCTGCCTGCACCACTGGATACGCCATTGCTTGTAACCTCCATCAGGAAGAAATGTGCATTTTACATGCACACATTTAAATGCATCATTTTCCTTATGGAGGTTTTTTCAATAACAAGTATATATCATGTGATTTATTTTTTATTGCATATTATTGCACAACACAATGAGAACTTTAGAAAATCCAATGGAATATACTAGGTTAGCCTACAGTATACTATAGCTTAGTTGTTGTAAACGCAACTGAATTGTAATCAGAGGGGTTTTTGGGGGTTTGAATCCCGATAAGGACAATGTTTTTCTCAAAATTTATTTTGATAATTTTTAATGCAGAAAGCAGATGTTTTTTCTAACTTGTACTGTGTATAGTATGTCAAATTTTTTTTTTTAATGATTCTGAAAATAGTTCCTATACCTGGTTGTAAATATCTCATCTGTACACTATCATAATAATATAATTGGTACAATATACAATGCACACAATTCAATTCAATTTTATAGAATGTTATTCAATAATTAGTCAAATTGATTATAATTGATATATTCACAATTGCATTTATAACATTTTGAAAGAAAAGACAAGCAAGAACAAACACATTACAAAACAAAAGTTGTATGAAAGAAAAATCATTTGGGTGGAAAAAATAATAGTAAGACTTCATCTAGAATATTTTGATGTAAATTCATTTGGAAAACAGCAATCCACAATGTTTTATTGCCTTTTTTACCCTCTCTAATACAAGTGACATTTGGTTTGCAAATTTATTTCTGTTTTTATAGGCTTCTGCCGTCTAAACAACAAAGAATGAAATATTACTCGCCTGTATACTTATTAAAAAATGATGACAACGCATGTGCAGTACAAACACACCAATGAACAGTATGTAATAAAACTACCCATAATCAAATGGAGCTGTTTAATAATACCTTGGTTCCTCAGGTATAAACCTACTTCGGGTAGAAGACCACCCCCAACTTTACGCCCAGTTTTACCTACTTACCAGCATTTTCTTGGGGCAAATGCCCATGGTATGAATTGATTGAGACTTACGAATAATCTAAAAAAAAACAAAAAAACTCAAGGGCAATTCCATTTTAACGAACATGACATTTTCACAATTTTAAAGTAAATATTTCAAAAAGTAAGAGGCCACTTTAGCTATTTGTAACATAAATTGACTTATCACAAGTTATATTTACTTCGTCAAAAAAATTGCTTAAGAATGTGGCATCATTAAGAGAGTATATACTCTTATGTCATGTCACGGACGGGGTCGCCTCTTTTTGACAGTTTCTAAAATTCTGATTTCAATTAAAAATTTCAGACAAACTGTTGAGCCAAAATGAAAAATTAACTTATTTATAACAAAACAGATCAACTCTATTATAAGGAATGCAAACGTTTTAAATAATGTTTTACTATTGTTAAATAATTACAATTTAACTGTAACAGATGTTACATGGATGTAAAGGACAGAACGTTGACACTGCTATATGGCTAAAAGTGCCCCATAAAATTATTAAATACAATAACAAGAATCCCAGAACAATCTGTTGCGGAAAAATTATACCAATATCTTTATTCATTCCCAAGTTATAGGACACTAAAAAAGTTGGCGTGTCTATAGTCTTATACAAATATAAATTAGGGTATGTACAAATTTTTGGAAATAACTTTTGAATGAGGAATGCCATCCTGGAAATTGGTATTCCATGGCTTCTATTGGCATACATTCAGAATCAGTATCAAAATAAAGAGAGTTTCCAGTTATGTAAAAGTTATTGGCACTTTATTTATGCTCATCATATAACAAAAATGATTGTTTTTGCTGTTTTTTGATCAATTATACCCACATGAGTAGTCCAATGAATTCCAAATCATAGATGTACAGTACCATTTATGGTTATATGCCTATATTAAAGATTTAACCTGATCTAAACAGATTTTTATTTAAGCATGTCAGAATAGTCAGACGGCATTTGGAAAAATGGCCAATGTTAATGATTTCAATGTTCTAAAAAATTATATGATGTTTCAATTATATGTTAATGTAAGATTATCTTGATAAAAATTGAAGACATTGTTTACAACATAACTGAACCATTATTTTATTATAAGAATTTACAAAGAAATTACTCATTTGGTAGTGCTGGTAGTAGAAATAATGTGTTTCATAATGTCACGTCTGTGACAACATGTTATGTCATGTCTGTGACAAATGTCACGTTTGTTACACAAAATATGATACAATATTTGGACTGATTTTTTTTCTTTTAATTACATTTGATTATGTGTGGATAGTAATTGTCTTCTGTGAAGTCTGATAACTTTAACTCTCTTACTCAATCAACAGTGGAGGAACGTTTTTGGAAGGGGGGGGGGAACCATTCCATAAGGTCCAGTATGCGAGCGAAGCGAGCATCTAGGCTGGGGGCCGCCAATGACCCCCTGTGGGGGTCCAGGGGGCGAAGCCTTCTGGAAGCTACGGATATTTTACAAAGTTTGGTGAATTTATTTTATAGGCATCAAGCTACTGTAATATGATTTCATTTTTGTTGTAATTTCCAGTGGCGGATCTAGGAATTCGAAATAGAAGGGCCCAATGAGGATACTTTCACTGATAGGAGCTAGCTCAGCCCCACCATGGTTGGGGCTGAGGTAAGAAAAGTTATGGTTATGGCAACTCTAGATGGCCGGAAATTGCACTTCCATCTAAACATAAAAATCTTTATAGCTAAAGTTGAATACAATTTTTATCTGTTTTTGCCATTTTATTTTTAATAATTTTGAAAAAAATAGGAGGATGGGGCCCCGCGCTGACTGGGTTCCCCCTAGAATCTGCCACTGTTCAATATAACACTTGACATAGCCTATCATTTTGTTTCACAAATGATTAATTCCTAATGTCAAGCAAAAGATTTTTTTATTCAAAAGATTTTTTTTTTATTCATTACAGTTTTTACAACCTATAACACATTAACTACTGTGTACTGTAAATTCTGTAGCTGTCTCTTATACACATCTAGATGTGTATAAGAGACAGCATAATTACAGTACTTTAATTTTCCATCATTATTTTGAAATTTGAGAATACTAACACTTGGCATGTGTCTAGTTGTGTACCTCATGTGCACGCACGTGATAAGGCATCAAGGGTGTATGTCGGAAACATTGATGCAAAATAGGTTCTCCCCCGTGCCAAAAGCCATCGAGTATGTGATTAGTCAGCAGGTATGTACTTGGCATACAACGAAAGTTAGCCTTTTGAAAATGATTTAATTGATCCATTTATTTTTAAGCACATGCTTTGAAAATAACCAAAGTCGACACATACTAATAAGAGACAGCGTTAAGAGAGTATATACTATTATGTCACGTCACGGACGGGGTCGCCTCTTTTTGACAGTTTCTAAAATTCTGATTTCAATTAAAAATTTCAGACAAACTGTTGAGCCAAAATGAAAAATTAACTTATTTATAACAAAACAGATCAACTCTATTATAAGGAATGCAAACGTTTTAAATAATGTTTTACTATTGTTAAATAATTACAATTTAACTGTAACAGATGTTACATGGATGTAACGGACGGGACGTTGACACTGCTATATGGCTAAAAGTGCCCCATAAAATTATTAAATACAATAACAAGAATCCCAGAACAATCTGTTGCGGAAAAATTATACCAATATCTTTATTCATTCTCAAGATATAGGACACCAAAAAAGTTGGCATGTCTATAGTCTTATACAAATATAAATTAGGGTATGTACAGATTTTTGGAAATAACTTTAGAATGAGGAATGCTATCCTGGAAATTGGTATTCCATGGCTTCTATGGGTATACATTCAGAATCTGTATCAAAATAAAGAGAGTTACCAGTTACGTAAAAGTTATTGGCACTTTATTTTTCATTTATGATTGTTTTTGCTGTTTTTTGATCAATTATACCCACATGAGTAGTATGAATGAATGAATGAATGAATTCCAAATCATAGATGTACAGTACCATCTATAGTTATATGCCTATATTAAAGATTTAACCTGATCTAAACAGGTTAAAGCATGTCAGAATAGTCAGACGGCATTTGGAAAAATGGCCAATGTTAATGATTTCAATGTTCTAAAAAATTATATGATGTTTCAATTATATGTTAAAGTAAGATTATCTTGATAAAAATTGAAGACATTGTTAACATAACTGAACCATTATTTTATTATAAGAAATTACAAAGAAATACTCGTTTGGTAGTGCTGGTAGTAGAAATATGTGTTTCATCACATATTATGTCATGTCTGTGACAAATTTCATGTCTTAAATACGCCACTGGGTACTTCAGCAGATGGAGAATCTATACCACCTCAGCCCCACCATGGTTGGGGCTGAGGCAAGAAAATTTGTTACTATGGCACCTCTAGATGGCTGGAAATTACACTCTCAGACTTAAAATTTGAATATAATTTTCCTTATATCTCCATTAAAAAAAATAATTGAACAATTTAGCCTCCCCCTCCACCTTGAACGTGCCACAGATTTCCGAACAAAGTCGAAGTCGAGATTGCTTCCACGACCTCAATGAATTATTTATTGTGAGGGTTACCCTTGATATGGGTTCCCGATGAAAACTTCACTTTTGGCCCCGATGGATAAAAATTACCCTTCTATTTAAATTTAAAATTTAGCTTTCCAATGGTATAAATAAAATAAAATTTTGGCCCTGTGATACATTAGAACTTAACATGGAATTACCCTCAAGTACTGGCTTTGAATAAGGCATGCAGTGCTGAAAAATTACCTTTTGATTGAAAAGGTGATTCCCTTTGTGTAGCCCCTCAAAAATCATCCCAATTTTGTTTTCAAAGGTGGGCTTATACAAGAGGAACTGCGGCAGTGCTGGTTATGTTACTTAGTCCTTAAACATGACACTTTGTTTTTAGTTACGCCCAGAGAATTTTCACACCATACACATTATTGTGTTGAAATATTTTTATTTTCCAATATACTGTACCTACACTGCACTGTTATTCTTGCAGTTTCATATTTGTATTCATTATTGATATTGTCATAATGTATTATTTTTACATACAGTAGTTTCGTTAATGGCATCATTTAGAAAGGTACATGCAGGATCTTGGGCACTGTTCTATGGGGAACGCAATAATAATTAATAGTTAATGGTTGACTTACAGAGCGGATATTAAGGCTCAGACCTATATTATGGATTCTATGGCGAATGCAATGCCACGATGCGGGCAATGAATTGGTTTTAATGATGACCGTTAAGACTGTTAAGAGGTCAATCAGCAGACGGCATCGCACGCCTACGGCCCTTGTATGTTGCAGTTAGTGCCCGGATTAAAGGGCAAGATGGAAGGTTCCATAAGTTCATTTTACACAGCTCGAGGAATAGTTCCAAAGTAATTTTCGAATTTCTGTAACATTAATCTCGTCCTTCAATCTTTTTACCTCTTTTTTTAATCCTTTCTTTTTTGTAGTAATCAAATAAATGTACCACTCCACTAAATTGTATAATGATCTATTTATTATTTTTTGTTTGTAATGTTGCTGACAGAGAGACATCCATGAATACCAAGAGCTTTTAATATATATTTTAGTTAAAATTATACAATTAAAATTCTGATAAGTTTGCACTTTATGTATTATTATTATTATTATTATTATTATTATTATTATTATTAGCGGATCAAATATCTGTCATTTGCCCATGGATGTGATGTGATGCCATCATGCCCATATTATGAGTAAACCACATAATCAACCAATGTAATGATTGTGGGGCTACTATTTTCATTGTTTCATTGACTTATTTTTATATTTAATATTTAAAAACTTAATATGTAATTGCTGATCTATGTTTGATACAAAAAAGAAAAGTAATAGTACAGTTACACGTTTCCCCTGACATTGGGAGGTACCATAGTAATAAAGGTAATATTAATACTTGTGTTGGCCTACTGTAAAGTTGTAGAAAAGAAAAAAAAAATGGTGTTAAGCTAACATGAGAACTTAATTTTGTTAATGATTTCATTTTGTCATAATAGTATTTAATATTCGTCTATTTTGCAGTTAGTTTTGATGAATATTATATTAATTTGGGAGTCATGTGATGCCTGTGATATTTACTAATACCAGCATGTGCTGTGTCCTGTTCAGTAATGGCTTTTGTGTGGCAATTATGGGCATATTATTATTGTATTTGCAAAGATTTATGGACCTAATCATCGACCAAGTTGGAAGCTTTAAACAAATTTTCTTTTGAAATATTCACAATCACATAATTTTACGAATTGCATTGATTTTTAATAAGCAATACATGCTAATATAATGCAAGGATCTACATGATATCAACTTCTATATTCACATACATATCATAACAATTAAAATTATTTATTGTAGATTATGATTGTGTTAGATTATGGTAGTATTTAGATTTTGTTTATTATCATGTATGTGTACATACAGGTAGGAGCTCATGGTTTTCAGGGATGTAGTTGTGGTAGGCAGAGGTGGGTGGGACCATCCAGCCTTGATGTTTTCCACCCATTCTAAAGCTAAATTCATGGCCCTCCACCCACCCTTTTTAGCCCACTTTTCCATCCTTTAAATCCACTCTTATTATTTAGAGTTTACCGATGTTTTTTTTTTCTCCAGAATTACTGATAACAAAAGATGATGATGGATGTTCTAAAAAGAGATTACAAAATGATAAGAATGATATTGTCAAGCATTTTTTGTCATTTTTATCCCTCAGATTTATTGTTTATTTTTCATAACAGATGCATATTATTAATAATAATATGCATCTATGTAATTACAAGAAGGCTGAAAAGTATTCTTGTTGATTTTTTTTTCTCCAGAATTACTGATAACAAAAGATGATGATGAATGTTCTAAAAAAAGATTACAAAATGATAAGAATGATATTGTCAAGCATTTTTTGTCATTTTTATCCCTCAGATTTATTGTTTATTTTTCATAACAGATGCATATTATTAATAATAATATGCATCTATGTAATTACAAGAAGGCTGAAAAGTATTGTGGAATAGTGGTACATCTGTCTCTTATACACATCTAGATGTGTATAAGAGACAGGAATAATATTGTCAAGCATTTTTTGTCATTTTTATCCCTCAGATTTATTGTTTATTTTTCATAACAGATGCATATTATTAATAATAATATGCATCTATGTAATTACAAGAAGGCTGAAAAGTATTCTTGTTGATTTTTTTTTCTCCAGAATTACTGATAACAAAAGATGATGATGAATGTTCTAAAAAAAGATTACAAAATGATAAGAATAATATTGTCAAGCATTTTTTGTCATTTTTATCCCTCAGATTTATTGTTTATTTTTCATAACAGATGCATATTATTAATAATAATATGCATCTGTTATGTAATTACAAGAAGGCTGAAAAGTATTCTTGTTGATTTTTTTTTCTCCAGAATTACTGATAACAAAAGATGATGATGAATGTTCTAAAAAAAGATTACAAAATGTTAAGAATTATATTGTCAAGCATTTTTTGTCATTTTTATCCCTCAGATTTATTGTTTATTTTTAATAGTAATGTCAGTTTAAGGAATACTGTATAGGAAGCCAATTTGTTTAGCCTTTTGCCAATTCTCTATGATACAAAACAGTTCTTAGTTCAAATGTAATATAATCAGATTGAAAATAAATAGAATTCTTAGTAAATGATAATAGTGATTATTAATAATAAGGTTGAATAGGTGCTATTTTACAGGTTGTTCCATCTTCATGCTAGAAAATAATAATGATAGAACTTAGGTAGCGGTCGATCCAGGACAATTTTGAGTTTCAGGCCATAATTTTTTAGTAATGTAGTGAAATATGCGATTACTCACTTCTTTAAATTTGGAAATAAATACCAGTCATAAATTAAAGATGTTGGGGCATTTTTGTTATAGGAAATAATTCTTTTTTAAATCCGGGCCTGGAAGGAGAGGATTTTTTAAGATGATGGGTCCATACCACTTATTTATACACCTACCACAGCCTGACCATGTTACTATGGACACTCTAGATGGTGGGAAAGTTTCTTCCTCTTTTTAATTTCACAAATTTAAGGGGTTACCCCAATCCTGAATCAGTTCAGTGTTTGAAATCAATTTATTTTTTCCAAGCCTCCTACAGTATGGAACTCCAAGTCCTCTATTACCACCACCCTCAATCTTACATGGGTAGGACGATTCTCAAACCAGTTAGAATCAAGAAAAAAAAAAAATACTACTTTTTTTAGTATAGTAGATTACCTCCTCCAAGAATAATATTTTAATAATTCAAAAATCAATGATCAAATGCACTCAGCGTTCATTATACCCCTGGTCACTGGATACATCCAATGGCAAACAAGCACAAAGTGCAACCTTCTCTGCTCCCTGAGGTGTATACCTAGACGTGCACTCAGCTCACAAAACTAGTACATGTACAATCAATGCTACAACATCCTACCAGGTACCCATTTATACTCCTGGGTAGAGAGAGACAAACGTAGATAAAGTGCCTTTGCCTGAGGATATAATCGACTTGCACAGCGATAAACCCCTGACCCCAAGGTTGGAAGTCCAAGCACCAACCAATGTGCCAACTGCCTCGTAGGTTATGTATTCATCGCTGTTTGCCTATTAGCCTGTGTGTTAGCAGGATTAGGCAAAGAAATAAATGGACCAAAAGATACAGTGGAATAGTGGTACATATTGTTTTAAGGAAGAAGTGATTAAATTGCATTGGTTACAGAAATTATAAAATTTTCTATAAAAGTTTCCTTTGAGCATTAAAAAACACAATTGAATCACCCGCCTTTACCATGCCCTGCGTGTATTATTTGGTATTTACAGGCACAGTGTGGATTTATGCCTATTATGAATGAACTGCTCTAATTTATCAGCTCAATATACTAAATATCTCTCTCTTTTCTTCATAGCAAACTAATGTAACCAATCATGAATTGTACGAATTGTTGCTAAATTTCTTCAAATCAAGATCGAACCTACTGGCCGTCATTGCCGATATTTCCAGTGTCAGAAAAGACTACAAAAACTATACTTCCGAACTGTGGATCTCACAAGAAAACCACATCACTGCAAATGTAGGTTTAAATTTTACTATGTAATATAAAAAATAATGGTAATGGTCAATAATAATAGGAATTATGTTTTTTTACTAAATGACGTGTATACTGAATGCTCACTTACAAGGTATTTTTTGCAAGTATTTGGGAACTAATCTCCTGATGCAAACCGCCTTCAGAAAAGATCAATAACATTATTGATGTGCTATAAATGATAAATAGAAATGTTTGATAATGTTACGTTTATTGATTATTATGATAATAATAATAGTGGAGCAGCATTGTCCATTCTGCTTCTGAACTTCCTGGTCAGAGTTTCAACCACACACTAAACCATTTTCAGCCAGCCAAGCTCAGATACCTTGGTTTGCACTGTTAACAGGCTGTGAAATTGTTTTCATGGCCTATGAATAAACATTTTTAAAATATGTCAGTATTGATATAGTGCTCTACATTGCAAGTCTCAGAGCACTTCTCCACAATATATCAGTCATTGGAACAATGCCTAATGAAGGGAAAATTCCATAGTTTGCTTCAGGAAATCAATCAGCATATTTTGAGCTTGAAGTACCCACTTAACTCCTGGATGGATAGAAGACAATGTGGACAAAATGCAAAGATCTTATAAAAACAAGATAGCACTCTCTCCGCGGTTTACATACAGTATAACAAATTAGAAGCGTCCATTCACACAGAAAGCAGCAAAAAGTAATTGTAATTGAGGGAGGGCGTTCTAGTTGTTACTATGGTTGTTCAAGAATTTACATGTAGTTCAAAAGTAATTGTAATTGCAAGAGGGTGCCATACACTGCATTATTACAGAATTTGCATGCAGAAATCGCAGAGAACGCCATCTTGTTATTAATGTATAAGATATTTGATAAAATGTCTTTGCCAGCAAGCACTTGAATCCCCGACCTTAGGGTCGAGAGTTTGAAACCACAACCGTTGTGCCAGTGTTTTCCATCGAAAACTGTAGACCTTTCCAGAATGTCAATCAAACCATAACACCTAACCAAATGAAACAGTGCGGCCAGGAATATGTGCATGTTTAACAAACACATATGTTGTCGCACAAACTGTCCTTTTGTGGCACCTCAGCAACAATGCAGCAAGGCTTAATTAGCGGAAAGGTACATTGTGTTTAATGATTGCTTTTGAAATTATGTATTTTTAGGGTCGGTGTGCTGATGGCTTTAAAGTGTCGCAGACGGTCACATACTCCACCGTGGAATTCAACTACATGAAACTACACGAGGTTGAGAGAACACTGAAGCTGATACGTTCATTTGCACACGACACGCTCTCCCTGTGCCTCTATACTGCCCAATTATCACGGTTACAAATTGAATCTTACTTGTATTTTTTGATTACAAAGAATCCAACCTTGGAAAGCATTAATAAATATTCTCCCATCACAGGTGAGAAAGTTTTGATCATCATTCCTATTATCATCACTATCATCATCAATTTTTATTGTTTTACTGGTTTTGTTTTTTATATATTTTCTCCCCTTTAGGTACAGTATGTGACACTGAACTTCATGGAGAAAAGAGTATAGAAACTTGGTGTTATATGCTATAAGAAATTCAAATAAATACTTCATTATTGTTTTCATCATTTACTATTATTATCTATCTATCTATTTATTTGTAATTGTCCCTGACAGCTCACCTGGTTGGAGAAAGCAGCAGAGAAGATCAGCAACAAATTGAGCGACTCCGTCAGTGTATATCTGTCTTATTCGCATTTCAGCGACGTCCAACTCAGGATCAAGTCTTTATTGATGTAACCAGAGAGTGGCTGAAGAGGCTAGTAAGTGAATATGTTATAATTAGTTTTATTACATCCTTGAGGATTTTATATTTTCATCGGATTTTCTTTGTGTGTTTGTGGGTGTGTGTTTGTCTGCGTGTAACAGCCTCATGCCTACAGTTTTAGGTCTACATGCGTCAGATTTTCACAGATGATATCTGACATTGAATGAACGGTTCTTTTTTTTTTATTTTGGTGATGATCCTGAGTGGGGTGGATGTGGTGATTCCTAAAGAAAAAGACCCCACATTAGATCTTAAAAACAAATCTACAGATATATATATATATATGAAACTTTCTAAAAGTGTTAACCAAGTTACAAGAAAGCCATTATTAAATTTTGGTGGTGATGTGAATTTGGGGTGGGGGATCACAGTCATTTAAAATGATAATTTTCCAATAAATATCTCAAAAACTGATCAATGGATCTGAGTGAAACTTCAATGGTTTGTTATTGTTTTTTTTATGATTTTTGTTTTTTGTTCTCTTCAGCTTTCCTATGTTTTTCTACCATCCACTTTGGTATTATTATTTACCCCCTCTTATTTTATTGTTTTGCATTGTTTTTTAGCCATTCCAACATTCTTATTACTATTAATCTAGTGCCAGTTGTTGTGGCACTAGATTAATAGCAATGAGTGTCGGAATGGCTAAACAAATATGCAAAGCAATGTATATAATGAGTCTGAAGGCTTAATAAACTCTGTAATAACATAACATGAAAATATTGTCTTTATTTTATTATTACTTTATATATTGTTTCATAGATTGCAATATTATTAAGGCTTGCCAGCATTCCCGACCACCTGTTTATCCTAAATCATCTGCTACGATGCCCAGCTGGACTTGATCAATGGGCCACAAGCTTCTTGCAGGTTTATCCACCACCACAGGGCTACATTAGTGGCCCTTTGGGGTCAACATGGGGTAGCCCCCTACTTGATCATTTTGTGGATATGCTTGACTACCTGATGTCCCCTGTCAGGTATGTTTCACTTGAAATTATATTTTACTGTAAAAAATTTTGTAGCCCAATTCTAATTCTAATTCTGTTGAACTTTGTATTTATGAATGTTTTACTAAACCTTTCCGAAACCTATGGGTCCCAATGTCGCGAAAAAAAATTTGATGGGTCGCATAATCTCTTCAGATCGTGAAAACATTACTTAACACTAACAAAGACAAATGAAATTAAATTACAGTAAACGAAAGTGCATTTTAAGTGTGACAAGTGCGTCAGTTTACTTTTGTTGTGTGTGCATTATCACAGTTTCATGTTATGCACTTGTCAATTGTTAGGCCTAAATAAGAAAATGAATACAAGTAGTAGAAACACATTTCCTTGCCTTGGCTCATGTACTGACATATTTTTGGCGCAAACTAGATCAAATTCATGGTTCGCAAATTTTTACACAACACACTCATGCGCCGCCACCTCGGTCCTCAGTGTTGTGTTGTTTGGAGGTTCAATTTATATTATTTAATTGATACCACGATCTATAAAAAATGCAACCATGGTGGTAGGCCTAAAGTACCGGTAGGCGATTTTTTAATAACCAAAACACACAGTAGTTGATGACTGAATGCCTATGCCTAGTGTAGGCTAGGTAGGACCAGACCCGGTTTGACAACATTAGACCTAACGACCCAAAACCGCAGCTACTCTACATGTAAAATTCCCGGCCCTTCCGAAGCCTGTTACACATACGGGTAAATTTTAGGTACTTCCTGGCACTACGGGGACACAACTATGTGTACATCCCCGGCTCAGTCCTGCGCTAGTACCCCGCTATGGCCCTGGTCCGGGTGGCCGGGGCTACAATTGACAAGTGCATTAAAAATATACTATCAAAAATAGTACTTCAGGTATGACAACCTTAAAGTATTAGTTTTGTTCATTTCATTGTGTTAGGCTTTCAGCTGCAAATTATAATGAGAAAACATTTTAAAATTTAATGTGTCTATGTCTCCGCATAACTCATAAATGTCAGGCAGCACCAGGAATTTATAATAAAATGTTCGTTAATCATTAATTTTTAAAAGTCTTTAACTTATTGAAAAATTTGATAACTTACGTGATTTTGTTAAATGAGTAATTCAAAGTTAAATTTTCATTTTTATGGGTTTTACATAGTGATTTTGTGGGTGATAATGTATTTTAATCAATTCACAAAAGAATCAAGTGGGTGTTCTTCCCGCTATCTCTTGCGTGTATAAAACAACTGACGTTTTATTGACTTTGGGTTCGATGGGTCGCATCAGAGTGCTTGACATCATTTGGGTCGTTAGCTAAAAAGGTTGTGGAATGGGATTTTACTACTCTGAATAAATTAAATAACATAATAAAATATCATAAAATTTAAAATAAAATGAATTATAATTAAATCAAATAAATTACAACAAAAGTGGGCTCCAAGAAGGGTCGGCGGGCCAAAGTGAAGTTCCATGCACGGTTTTAACATACTTTTTACAGAAAATTGACATTGGGCTGTAACAACCATGGGTTTTAGTCAAAAGTGCAGACATATTTCAGGGTATATATGTTAATTTATTTTCATTGGCAGATTGTGGTCTGCGGACTGCACTTTGCCCACCTGTGCTTTAAAGGCTTGGCAATGTGTCCTAAGCACTGTGGGTCTTTCTACTTCCAGGTATCGAGAAGAATATCTATCTCGACTGCGGGTTGCTATGACTCCAGACACGAGCAAAGCCTCAGACACAAATCCTTTTGCCTGGACCATTGTTGATGAAGATGGTGAAGAGGTGATTTTTTTTTTTATTTTTTTTTTTTTTGCAATTAATAACTATTGATTGACCAATCCATCAGTGCTTTTCAATATTGTGTTGATTGCTTCCCCTGATACTTGGGTCTTCCATGCACTACAAATGGATAAATGTTTGATTGACAGTGATTGATTGATGATTGGCATAATTCATTGAACATTTAAAAATCAGCACTTGAATACTTGCTCCTGCATTGATATCGCTTAAATCATTATTTGAGGTTGTCTCACATTGTGAATTCAATTGCTGCCTTGAAGTTTGTGGCTTCAGCTTTACGTCAATTCATTAACTACTAATAAGTTGTGAGAGAAAAAAAAAAATTCCAGTTTTGTTCTCAATGTATAAAATTATATAATGTTCATTAATTGCTTTACTTTGAAGGATTAATAGATTAAATCAGTGGCGGATTCAAAGGGGCACCTAAATTTTAAGAAATTATATAAAAAATGTGGAGAGAAAAATAAAATTATAATCAAATTTAAATCTGAGAGTGCCATCTAGATACATTTTTTTTCCTTAATTCCCACATTTTCTTTCCTTAATTCTCCCCCCCTCTCTTGTTGAGTCTACCTGCTATCTGTCCCTCCCTGGTCCCCATCTAGTTTGAATTCCTAGATCCACCACTGTAAATGTTTGATTTATTGCTTGATTGATTAATTTAGGATGAGGATGCTGATAACCAATGGCTGATGCTACATGAGAATGACCTTGTTGGTTTACTAGCTCAGTTTCCATTTGACAAATGCTTCAGACATGTTCTGGCCATGGACAGTACAGGTAAGACAGTTAAAGCACCTGGACATAAGGTCAGATATGATATTGATGATTTTTTATAAAAGTAGCAACACTGGTTGTTTTTGATGTTCTTCATCATCACAAACATCATCATCATATTTCTTTACCATTATCGCCATATCATCATCATTATCAAGATCATCTTTCGATGATGAGGATGTCATCTTCATCATCAGCAACATCATCATCATCATTATTATTGTCATCATTATCTCTATCATTATCATCATCATGATCATCATCATCTTCATCATCAACAAGGTCTTTGACCAGTATTAAGTATATGGTTGAATGATAGATGTCAACAATAGATTTGAACACATGATTCAAGAATTAGTAACCTGGCACTCTACCACTGAGTCGCATTCCTCCATGTGGACTAAACATGAAGTTATAATCATAAATTTTAAACATTTTTTTTTTTTTTGTAAATGCATATTTTAAAATTACAAAATAATGAGCTTGTGTTTTATCTAACATGTTAGTTTCTTCTTTGTTCTCACCTGCCCCCGTATTTTTAGACGAAGATGAGTATGCCATAGAGCGTGTTGGTAGCCATCATGTAGTGAAGTTGATAGCATTTGCAACATGTGTTATCAACATTTTGAAGAAAGGTTTGACAACGTTCAACAAAGCACGATATCGACAATTTGTGAAAAGAATCGGTAGAATGATCAGGTATTGAAACATTTACATTTACAACAAAACTTCATTCGCAATTTTATAGTTAAACAATCTTCATCATCAATTTTTTTGCGATTGGGATTACGAAATAGCGGGATTACAAAAGGTCAAATTAAAGTCAAGCTCCAGAGGAATAAAAAGTGTTGACATGTTGTAAACTGACTTCTAAGACACTGAAGATGTGTTTAATGGAAAACATGGTAAAAGATACAGATTTTTTTATTATTTAAATACTGGGGTAAAAATTGTGGTTTACTCCTTGCTAATGAGCAAATATAAAAACATGTGAATTTTTAAAACTTTCAACTGTCTTGAGAAGTATTCAGACATGTTAACCTCATTTAAATTTAGGTTTTCTCCCAGCCAAATATGTGATTAATTTCATTTTTATTTAATACCGTATTTCCAATTTACACTGCCTCGTAGGCATACCGTGCAATACGTATCCGACCATTGGTTGAATTACCGTGACTGGCGCATATCATGCGGTGATGATGAAGATGCGATTCCTAGTCTTGTACCTTATGATGCACAATTCTCGCTGAAACGGCTGCAATTGGAAATTGATCAGTTCTATTTCCGGGCAACATCTTGTATCTTGTCTGCTAAAAGGTAACATTGTCTTCCCTTGCATAATTAATTATCTGTCATGAGATTAGGCTTGCATCTAAAGAGCGCTGTGTGCTTTATAACTTACAACAGTATCATGTTGTCAAACATGAGTTAGAGGAAGTGGGTCGCTGCAAATTGCATCGATGCTTTTTGGGGTCATTGGTCAAAAGGTTTAAGAACTGCTGTTTTAAAGTACACAAGACACAGTTATGTATGTTAGGCTTATGGGTTAAGCTGGACACTCACGGTGCCAGACGGTTACCAGCCGATGCAATTTTATGGAGAACACAACGCCATAACGCGAATGCAGCGGACCGTTTTTAATGACAGTCCGTACAAACAGCCACCGACAATCAGTAGTCAGAGTCGTACAATGGATGTACGACAAAGTGTATGCCCAGTTTTAGAGTTTTTTTTAGAAGACCTGGGTCCAGAATCTGCAACTGGAAACCCAAGTGCTGATAATAACTTATAAGGCTGTGAATAGCGTGCTATGTCTTACTGTTGGGTTTTTCAACTTATTTGATTTTAACACCCGATGTTCTGAGACAGTCTCCCCTTCAATTATACATGGGCTGAACATTACTTAAATTCAGTGATCTATGTTTCAGTGTGTTATCAAAAAAATGCAAAAGTCCAAAAAATCTTGATGTTCTATATTAGTCATTGATAACTTGGATTATTGTATTGTCTCATTTTATTAATTTCAAAAGTCACTGCTACAGATTACTAATTTGGTTTAAATTAGTGTGTGATGACATTTTAGAGCCATTTGGCACACCATTTGCATTTCAACATTATAAATTCCATGCTGTCCATTTGCTGTGTTTCTTTGTCCAAGAAACTTCTGAATTTTGAGACTTTCTGTGTAAAGACCTACTGTCTATAAATGTCATATATTTCCATTCTTTCTAGTACTGTATTTGGATATTTTCCTACTTTAGAAAAGCATATTCAGCTATGTTTATGCTCTATGTTAAACTTTGGATAATTCTATCATAGACTTGGCACTTGGCAGTTCATGTCAGAGATGCCACACAACAGTATCTCCTTGCTGATGATGTGGAAGTTGTTATGGTTATTACATAGTGACGGTAGTGGTCTTGAACAAGAGGTACCTCAAGGAGCAGGAATCGATGCCTACAAGTGGAGACTGTCTGGTGAGTAACCCCTTCCATACTACCAAAGCAAACTTCCTTTAACTCACAGTGGGTTTTAGTATTTTACAGTTGTAGTTTCCATCGTATATTTGTAACTCTTGGTTGTAAAACTCTGTTGACATATTCTTTGGATTGATTTTTTTTTCACAGATCCCGCTAATCGTGGTGCTTTTGATGACAAGCTTGGCAATATGTCGATGCAAGAGCTCATCTATCTCCTGACAGCATTCACCAGTATGGCACGCAGTCGTCCAGCCTCTGATGTGACTTTCATCAATTTTATCGCTGTTGAGATATTTGAGGTTTACTAAATTATATATTGATTTATATTATTCCTTATCTAATGATTACAGTTTTCCTTCATTCTCAAATTCACTCAAAAATATTTTTTTAGTAATATTGATCGATTAATGGCCTCAGTTCATTCTGTCTTTCATTTTCATTTTATCTGTCAGTTCTACTCTTCCTTTTCACCCATTTCATTGTACTGTATATGTTTACGTAGGTACATTCCGTAAAGGACCTTATGATCCATAACCGCAGGGTTACAGGTGCTGCATGGACCAGTACATCGGTCCGTACCGGTATATCTGGAAAGATGTAGGCCTACTGGGTACTTTAAAGTGGACATGAGTCAGAATGTGTACACTGGGCCTACGGTTGATAGTCCTTATCAGAGAAGACTTGTTCCACCACTAGAACCATAGACGAGCCTGCCGCTCAAACCAGCGCCGATATTATGGCTATTATGGCTGTAGGTTGCAATGCCTCTGGCTGAACCGCTCGACCATTCGACTCGCCTCAAACTTCTACTTTGATCCTCAACTATTGTTTATATTGTCCTTCTGTCAATCCCTTCTTTAAATTATGAAATTTAGTAACTGTTGTGTTACAGTTCTACAGATATTATTAAAAAAATGCTAGAATGAAACTGCCAGTGCGTGATGCATGTCATGTGGTCACTCAAGTAATGCTGTGATGCTGCAACTTGCACCCCTGCAGGCTCAAACCCAAAACTCCCTCATTTATGTTTTTGGTTTGTAGGACCAGGTCTTCTCTAAAGAATGTGAAAACCAGAGCCCTGAGATACACCTCTGGATCATGTGCATTTTAAAGAACCCACGATCGTAGGTGGAAGTCAACACATTAGTTGAGTTGAGTTGAGTCGCAAAGGCCACATAAGATTAGCTTAACTCTGCTACATTGACTTAATGTTTATGGTATTCTCTTTATTTTAATAATAACATTTGAATATTTGTAACATTACTATGTCCGGTATCATTTAATACTCTTCAATTAAAGATATATATTTTGTAAGTAGTTCATCTGGGTATTAGCCAATTGATCATTTACGAGATACATTTTGTTTATTCTCTTTGTCTATTTCATGAATATTACATGGATAAACCAACTAATTGCCACTGTTCCAAAAATTAGAACCATCAGATCATCTCATAGACTACCAACTTCACTTCTGTTTTGTGTATTTCAGCTTTCCTATGCTAGAGACCATACCAAGAATTTCTGTTGCAAGATTGGGCGAGAATTACTATCAGGCCTGGCAAGCACTCATCCATTCATAATGTCCACGTTGTTGTGTCAGGTAAAAGACGTTTTCCTGGCAATTGGGACGGTAACTATCAGTGCATGCTTCCAACATTTCCATCTTTTTTATACCTAAAGAAAAATGTGCTATTTTGAAAAAGGACATAATCTGTGGGTACATTAAACTTTAATTAATGATATATAAAATTGTAAAAAATTATTTAAATTCCTGAAGAAAATATCCAATGTTGGATTTTTCTGTCAAGGTAGCACATTTTTCTTTATTGTTCCCGCAAGCTTTTACCATTTGTGATCAAAATTTTTAAAATTTTCTCCCCAAAGGTTTTTAATGTTAACCTGACAAAGGTATGATGTAAAATTTGAATATTTAGTGTAGTTTTTTTTTCTTATCAATTAGATTTACTGCTATCATTTCTATTTGTTCAACTGTTTTATGTATGTTGTAATGTTTCATAATAAATAAGCCACTTTGTATACTTTGAGCTGCGCATGTATGTGTCGAAGGTCAATCTACATAAAACAGTATGTGTGTGTTAAATTGGGACATCGTTTTGCAAGCTTACGAAAAAAATAAACTTTTTAATTAATCGATTCTCTACAGTAGTAACATATCTATAACAATGTTGGCCAACCATGCCTTTGTAATGAATCAATAGCCTGGTTCTCACGAGAGCCCTAGTATCCGGATTGGGAGTTAACCGTTAGCGGTAAACGTTAGCACCTGCCTGAGAACGCCCGATAGCTGTATCCGGATACCGCTAACGGTTAGCAAGCGCTATCGGTTAGCAAGTTGAGCGCGTTTTTATCATCAACCAAACACACGTACCTGTTTACAATTTCCAATTTCTTATTGGCCAGTGATTCGATCATCATATTTTTGGTATCCGGATTGGGATTTTCTCGTATGGACGCACAGCAGCTAACAGTTAGCAGGATTCGGATCCTGCTAACCGTTAGCAGCCGTGTGAGAACATAGCCTATGATATATTCAGCTCGTATAGATATTTTCAAGAGTGATTTGGCACAAATGACGATAATAAATATGACGTATTTGTTATCATTTTCTTAATGTTGCAAAGTCTCCCTAATGTTTAATGTCGATTGACCCTTAATATGGGCATGTCCAGTCCAAACTATGAAGTGGCTAATTTTGTAGTTCTAGTGGGTTTTTATTAGTAGTAGTGGTGTACTTTTACATTTTTTTTTTTTGTCTCTTTATGCAGATCCCATTTTTTTAGCAGAGTGGACCATTTGTTACCATCACATCAGATAGATGATAAAATTTCATCCACTTCAGAGAGTTGAATTATTCTCATGCATCACAAATTGATTTATTGTTATACATACTGTAGTATTCTTCTCATCCATGTGATAAAGTGTTGATTCTAGGTTTCTGTTTGATTGCAGTCATCTTCAGAAGGTCACTTTAAAAAGCAGGGCATTTTTTTCTTTTACAAGGTAGTTTCTTACTGGAACCCTATGATCACTAAACTATAGAGTTTTTTTTTTTAAAGAATTTAACACATTAATTTTTTTGGCATCATGCACAGTGGGAAGATTGGGTTGAAAACCAACTTCGTAACAAGTGAATACATTTATTTATACATTTTTTTGTTTTTCTTTGGTTTCAAAGAGATTTTCTGGTTTAACAATACATTATCGATCAAAAATGTGCATGTATTTGTTCATTTAATTTTCACTACAAAATTAATGGTTTAATACAAATGGTCAAATTTCTTATAAAATTTACTTAAATTATAACTTCATTATTATTTTGATGCATGATATTTGCTGTTTTTATATGAGGCCCCTTTGCCTGCAAAAGCCTCTCAAAATCTCAGTGTAATTATATAATCAAGGTGTATTTTTGAAAAAACATAATGTGTCTATTTTCTCAAAACATGTCAAATTTCAAAACGTAGGTCTATTTTCAAAGAGTAGGTCTAATTACTTGAAACGTAGGTCTAATTTTTTCAAAATGTAGGTCTAATTTCTCAAACGTAGGTCTAATTTCTAAAAGCATAAGTCTTAATTTCTCAAATTGTTGGTCTATATTTTAAATGTAGTTCTGTTTTCAAAAACAGTCTAAATTCTCAAAATGTTGGTCTAAATTTTTTGAATATGGGCCTGACACCCTTTAATATAAAAATAGCCTTTCTGATTGTTGTTGAACTTATTGTTTTATTTCATGCTCACAAAAACATTACATAGAAAAAATTTACAAAGCAAAACCATTCAAAAGTAACAGAGGAAAACATCAAAAAGTTAAAAAGTGATCAGATAATCCACAGAACATGAACAAAAGAAAAGAAATACACAATTATGCGCATCAAAAAAAGAAAACAGGTCAGGGGGGAGCATTGGATAACCCCTTAAACCCGAAGGTTTGTTTCCAAAGGGGTCCAGAAAAAAAAAAAAATATTAAAAAAAAAATAATAATAATAAATAAATATATTTTAAAAAATGAATTAAAAAAATAAAATAAAATAAAAACATTTAAAAAAATAAAAAAAATTAGATGAATAATAAATAAAAAGAGATATAAATATACCCAGACACCAAAAATAGAGAACAAAACCACACACCTTAATCTAAAACAAGTCTAGATCTGAACATTTGGCTACACATAATTTGGTTTTGGATTTTTTATTTATATATTCAGACATGGTTAGCAATTGAGAAGGAATCACTATTTCAGTTTCTTTCATAGTTTCAACACAAATCACTACTCACTCAGTCAAATGGTCAAGCGTGTAAGGCAGGTGTGCTGCAACGTACAACCATAATATTGTCGCTGGTTTGAGCAGCACGCTCGCCTAATTGTTCTAGTCGGGGAAAAGACTAAATTAACCATAGGTGTACACAATTGGCTCATATGTACTTTAAATAAATATATGAAATAGATAAATTTTTCTATTTCGTCCAGTTCCTGGGTGGGACCCGCAGCCGCCGCAGTGCACTGCCGGTACTGACATGTAGTCAAGACCACGCCCATATGCAATTCAGCACAATGACGCTGCAAGTTATGGGTTATTCTCCTACCCTTTTCCTACCTTTACCTTTACTGGTTTATAATACAGTCCCCGCATGTAGCTGTTATTGGTTTACTGGGTAGCTCAGACATGAAGGATCCCATGGGCAGAAGCAAGTTACTGTACAAGCCATTCCAAGTGTCAAGAGCTTTGAGACTTTGATGTAAAGTGCTATATAATGATGGAAAGAATTACTGGTGTCATACTGGATTTGAACCCAGAACCCTAGGATTTGGAAGGCAAGCTTTTTAGCCACCAAGCTACAATGCCACTCATTTTCTGATTTACTTTGTAATATTATAACTACGGTATTAAAATTTGTTGGTGATTTACATACAATAGTTATTTGCATTTTGATATTTAAAATATTTTCAAATTTTCTAAAGCATGTTATAAGCATAAAATAATGTGGGTTTTTTTATATATTACTGTACTGACAAACTGGTATAATTGATTGAGTGCAACCATGATATTCTTATGCCTTCACTTTTCTTTAGATGTCCATGTACCTATTTAGAGAGCTACCTTTGCATCTATGGCAACCATCATCAGATGACATGGAACTAATCCGTCATTGGTTGGTTGACTTTGTACCAAGCAGCGTAGAGAACCAATTAGCACGCTTAATTTTGAATCGATTAAACTGGGGTTTCAATGACCAGGTAAAGTTTTTTTTTAAGTTGCAGGACATTTTTAGCTCATGCCATGTATAGTTTACATGCCTGCCATACTACTTCGGTTTATTTCAGGAACCTTGTATTAAATTATTGTAACCCCTACTAGCTGCTGTAAGGTACAGATTTGCTCATTGGATTGCTGGTATTATATTGTGTCACATAAACTGCATCACTATGTAATGAACCGAGGACCCCTATGGAAACAAGCTCATAAAGCTTATAGGGTTATCCTCTTGCTCTCATTTTTGTGTATTTATGTACTTTTTGTTTTGATGTTATAATGATGAGGGCAATAAATAATAAACAAAACAAAAAAAACAAACTTATGTAGCGTTTGTTTCCTTAGCTTTTTGTAAAAGCATTATATCGTTCCGCTAAGTCTCGTTCCTTAAACATTGTTGCCAAGGTCACAAAAAACAAAGCCTATCATACAGTCCTAAACTTACGAGTTTGTGTGACATATGCATGTTCCTTGCGCCGCCTACTGAATAACACATTTTGATTAGTCGGATGTTTTTAATCGAAACTCCAAAAGATTCATTTTCTATAAATTATGTTTGTGACTTAGAATTGCATGCCGTTATGTACAGTTACTATGGTATTGCCAGGATAATGGTAAAGCCATCTTTTAACAATTTCATTATTATATCATAATGTTTATATTTGTACTAATATTCTAATTTGTGTGTTGTCCATATTTGTAGAGAAATGCCCTTGTTTTGGATATCAAGTTGCATCGGTACGTTGCTATCCTCATCGTCGATGCCCACTGCAAACACATAGGCAGCAAAGCAATGGAAGCAGGTCTAATCTCTGGTGGTATATTAAAGGTATTTAATATTAAAATATATTATAGAGGGGTGTAAGAGGCATATCCCCAATTTATTATGCTAATTAGTAAAAATCAATCAATTACAACCTCAAATTAACAAAGGTACTAGAGGTTTTGGAGGATATAATTTCTGATGGGGGCAGGGGTGGCTAAGCTGTCCAAGATTTGGGCGGGGGGGTGGTTGAGTGAGATAAGGATAACTTTGGCACTAAAACGTGAGGTCAAAGTTTAAATTTATGCAATACCTCATGTTCTTGTGCAAGGTACCTTATGAATGTTTGTTTCTTAAAATCAGTGTTTAATTGTTTTTTTCATTTTTTTGTATTGCAATTTTTACTTTTTTGTTTGGAAAGTCATAGCATAGTAACAATAGTAATACACACTGTATGGTGTACAGTCAGTTAACCATTGTAATTTTTACTGTAATGTCCTGTTTTTTTTTAATTTAATAAATGAAATAAATAAATAGATTAACTGATATTAGCCCATGACGGCTGTGCAGCAAATCAAATCTTGAATCGTAAATTGTCATTGTTTTTTAATTAGTGATTACTATGCTTTAGCAAAAGCATATTAAATCTTTGTAATGGACAGGTCTGCCCTTTGACCTTTTTTTATGTTTATTCATTACCATTTTACGTTTTTTTTCTCAAGGTATCACAGATAGCCACCAATATTCGCTCAATGTTAACAACCGAGCAGTCCTTTGACGTCTGGGCATGGGAAGTACTAGATATAATTTGTGGGGGGGGGGGGGGTGGCTAAGCTGTCCAAGATTTGGGCGGGGGGGTGGTTGAGTGAGATAAGGATAACTTTGGCACTAAAACGTGAGGTCAAAGTTTAAATTTATGCAATACCTCATGTTCTTGTGCAAGGTACCTTATGAATGTTTGTTTCTTAACATCAGTGTTTAATTGTTTTTTTCATTTTTTTGTATTGCAATTTTTACTTTTTTTTTTTGGAAAGTCATAACATAGTAACAATAGTAATACACACTGTATGGTGTACAGTCAGTTAACCATTGTAATTTTTACTGTAATGTCCTGTTTTTTTTTATTTAATAAATGAAATAAATTAATTATGCAAATAAATAGATTAACCGATATTAGCCCATGACGGCTGTGCAGCAAATCAAATCTTGGATCGTAAATTGTCATTGTTTTTTAATTAGTGATTACTATGCTTTAGCAAAGCATATTAAATCTGTGTAATGGACAGTTCTGCCCTTTGACCTTTTTTATGTTTATTCATTACCATTTTACGTTTTTTTTTCTCAAGGTGTCACAGATAGCCACCAATATTCGCTCAATGTTAACAACCGAGCAGTCCTTTGACGTCTGGGCATGGGAAGTACTAATGAAGCTACACCTGCACATCAACGACCAGCCATGTCAAGCTTTACTTCCATCAGGCAGCAGATCTGGTCCCGAAGGCTTTGAAGAGCATCTGGATATCCATTTAGACCCTGTTTTGTACTTGGTCCAAAAGGGAGTGAAGAACAATACACCAGTTGCCTGCTATGTTGCTGTATCGATGACTAAGATAGGACATGTGTAAGTTAGATGATAGACAGTGATGATATTATGTTGGCATTGATAATAGCTATGGAAAAGATTAAGATGATGGTATAATATTGAAGAATGTAACTGACAAAGATAATGATAATGATGATTTTTATTATGGTAAGATTATTATATTCTGGCTGATTGGTCAATACTGATTCTTTCGAGGTGTAGTGACTTTGTCTTTGTAATTGTCTATTTCTTAAATACTTACTTGAATACTTACTCCAAATTTTTCTTTGAAACTTTCGAGCAAAAAAGAAAATGATGGAATTGACCTAGCTTACCTTTATATGGAATGCATGAATTAGACTGAGTTCTATAAGCCCTAATTATTTGGATTTTCAGTGAAACACTATAATATCACTATTATATAATAATAGTAATACTGTAATAGTAATAGTACAGTAATAGTAATAATAATAATATTAATAATAATAATGTGCCCAGTGCATCTTGTGGTCAAACTTGATGTCCCATACTATTGCTATTTCTGGGACCATCCTAAACTTAATTTGCTTGTTAGTGGCACTGTCCTGAAGGAGTAAAAACCAAAACAAAGTAATTGTGGCAAATTTATATGTAATTGGACAGCTTCCTTGTTTCTTCAAGCCTATAACAGATCTTGGTGCGGGAGGTTTTTCCTGGCCTGAAATTATAATTTTGATTGAGCGTGATTGTTTGTATTTATAGTGATTGAATTTGATATTGTTTATGAAATATACATGTTTATGAAATAAGCAATACATTACCATATTTCTCATCAATCCAGTGGTGTACCTGGGGAGTGTACACTCCCTCAAAAAAGCTCCCTCCCCAGCTTCCAGCCATTGAAAATGTCCGAAGCAAAAAAACCATGCTCAGGTATTTAAAAATCACCATATTTTGTGATGTGTAGATCCCCCCTCACTTAATCATTGACCCCTACTCCATCCTCACATCCTCCTCATCACCACCCCCCTTCATTTCAAGACTAGATATGCCATATCTATCCTTTCTACTTACTGTGGCTACTTGTTCTCTTACAGAGTTGAAGATTTCATCACTCATGGTTTGAAGTACCTACAGGTGTTAATAGATGCCAACAATCAGAAGATGTGTATCCCTCTGTTGGGAATGGTTGTGAAGACATTCCTTAAGGAAAATAAGCAAAAATACTTAGTCACCAATGAAAAGTAAGAATTATTATGCTTCAATTTCATTCTTACTTTTATGTTTATCAATATGAATTATTAGTAATCAGTACCTCAAAAACAAAAGCACTAACACATTCACCATCAAGAAATGTCAAGGCTCACAAAGGAACAGAATATTGATTGGCAGAGGGCACAACAAGCATATTGTCTGTGCAATACTGCATTTACTCACAGACTGCTGGGGCGGATTGCTATAAGCGGTCTTTATGCTACACCAGCTATAATCGTGATGTCACTACTGGTCTATGATTATGGACCGTTGCTATAGCGTGGTCTAACCAGTTAGCCATCTTAAATTTTAGAACATACACGGAGGAGGCCTGAAACGGTCTTAAATCATTTTCATCATGGCGTTACAGGTGCTAGACCTAGATTGTCAAAGACCAAGAATCGAACGGCAAATATTCCGCAAACTTCTCAGTGTCTGTGAAATCCAGCCTTCATTTATTTACGTTCATTTTGATACATGTGCAATTTGTATACATGAATCGAGTAAATGTGACGTATGTCTAACAGCACCCTCAATTTTATGTACCAGGGAGTGCTTGTTAACATTTCAATACTCATCGCGTTCTAAACGAAGACCGTTTTATAGCAATAGTAAAAACTAAATTGACTTTAGTTAGACCGACTAAGTGATAAAGCCAGCTTTATTCGAGGAGTTAAGACTACCAGTTAAGACCCATTTATAACAATAGGCCTTTGGAATGGCAGCACATTAATGAAATGATTGATTGATTGATTACACTCAAAGAAAAATAGTGTTAATGTGGAACAGCCTAACCAGAATGTTGCACTTTTGCAGAGAAGCTCAATTCTTGAAGCTCCTTTTGTATTACTTCCTGTTTTTTTGTGGATCTCAGGTTCCTTAACATCATCTGGTGCATATTGCAAGCAGACACCAACAACTCTAGGATCACTCAAAGGTTCTTCCAGACCTCATTCCCAGGAGAAACTACCAAATGTTTTACAAGCATGATTGTGGTAAGTCGGAAATTGTGTTTATGTACAAGTCTGATTATGTCTTTTATGATCCCTGTATGATTTAAATCTATACTGAGTATTAACCAGCTGAGCCTGCAGCTTTTCAGAGTACCATTTCGAAAACTTGATTATTTATCATTTTCTTTAAGACACTGTTAACACTGAGATCTAGTGCCTGAAAGGGCCACAGCCATCAGGGAGAGCTGGCCCCTTCCCCCCCCCCCCAATTGAAGAAAAAAATCACAATTCATCTGGGAGGGGAAAAAATTGCATATGTATTTTCTACATATTGGTAGGCTTTGAAATCAATTAAATAAGCCAGTAAACTTTCGATAGGTTTTGAGCAACGCTTGACCATGCCCACTTTTTTCATCAGGGACATCGCCCCCCCCCCTTTCCAAAATAAGGGTATTATGTTATAGATGACTCTATACATTTTAATCAATTAAATTATAAGGTAAAAATACTTTGTGATGCAAATTTATTGTCAAATATTCAGAAACTGCTTCAAGATTTCAACACCTCAGACCAACAGCCTGATGTGATTGTAGCCTTTTGGTTAAATGTACTAACCTTCAACAGCAACTGGTATCAGGATCTGGATACTCAGTATGTTCTCAATGCTCTGCTGCAAGTTGCCTTCAGGGTTAAAGATGGCATCAAGGTGGCAACTGATTTTCTCTTTGCTCTCTACAAGGTTTGTGGTCTTATTAAAATTCATGAATGCTTATGAATATTATATTGATTTAAAAATATTTTGTATGTTTATCTTTAATCATATATATTTATAGATAGAAAAAAAAAAAAAGCTTTCAAATGTGAGCTGTCATGACAAATTAATTTGGTACCCAAATTGAAAATTGGGGTGTTGTTAAATAGATGAGTATATTAGTTTTATGTTGGTGTTTGGATCAGGTTCTCAAGTTGAGTACAATCGGAGAGCATGGTCAAATTAAGATGTCTGAAACATACTTTAGAAAAAATTGAATGTAAAGATAAACAACTGATACATTCTGTGTTGGTTTCCTATCAATTCTGAAAAACAGCTTTAAAGAACGTGCCTCAAAAACACCTTACGTAGCTCAACTCAGAACATCTGCTTCTACTAAATATACATATTAAACTTTGAAACATTAAAACACATTTTTGTTATATGTTTTACTTCCGATATACTTTTTTCAATAAATCGAAATTACCTGGCATACAAAAAGAATGTGTACCCTTCTGAAGGTGTAGGTTCATTCTCCACCAGTAAATTTTATTTTTAATATACAGACCTCTGCAGGTAATTCCAAGAGTCAAGGCCTCCTGTCGTCAGTGCTAAGCTATGTAACTACCAGTGTACCACAGCCGAGCTTCCTTGAGGCTCAGAGCAGCCAGTACGTCTGGCTAGCCTACACCATCTTGTTAGCAGAGCAAAAATTCCTTGCGGATATTCAGCTGCACAAATTTGTTTACCAAGAGCTCTATAAGGACCAGAAGGTCACCCCAGAGGTTGCACTGAAGGTATGGACTCTGTAGGAGTTAAGTGTGGGAGCCTGGGTGTGTAATGGGGTCAGGGTGCCTTATGAGTAGTGTAAGGGAAGGAGTATTTAATAAACTTAGTGAATAGATTAACAAGGAGAGGTTTTGGAAGAAGTTGTTAATTTGTAGTGGTTGGGAATGTATTTTATTAGTAATCAAATATGTTAATAAATATATATTAGCATGGACTTTTATTTTCACCCAAACTCACATAGAGTTATGAATTATATTTTAACATCCACAGAAAGGTGCTAACAAGTTAAAACTAGGATTTACACCAATGATACAGCGGTTACCCATATATAGATGGGCTTCCCAGGTACTGGAGACCGACACCAACCATCCATTACTACCCATAATGTGGCAAAGATTCTTCGGTTTGTATCTTTTGAGGCTGGCGCCGGAGCCTGGGTAAGCATTAAGTTGAGGTGGTAAAATTTGTACCATTGTCAACAACTAGTAAAAATTACCCATCCAGGTTTTTTGGTACTATTAACCTGGACTAAACCCCAGGACTGCGCTCCAATTATAGTCTGCGATCATAAGATGTCAGTAATTAGGGGGAAAAAATGTGTGAATTGTCTGGTTTACTAATCGGCCGAGATATTTCATTTTCTGATGTTCACCAAACTGATGACACTAGAATGAGTGCAAATTTTCTGAAATAAGGGAATATTAACAATATCCTGAATGGATTCGCATATTATAAAAACAAGTAACATGGCAGGCATTTTCCATTATTTCCTTAATATGTTTGGGGTAAATAAAATCATATTTTTTCCGTGATCTTGACCATGTCATTTGACAATTTTTTTCCAAAATTTAATCATCTTCAAATATTACGTACCATTTCACTAAATTTTATAGGGATCCATTCAGTAGTTTCTGCGTAATCTTGCTATCAAACAGACAGTGGTGAATATATATTGTAACCTTTTTTTGCAGAAGTAGAAAGAGCTAAAGGGTTAAATAATAACTACAACTAAAACAATAAAGCAATGTTTTTTCTACTATCTAGCCTTCCAAGTCGTGGTAGTGTAGGGGAAAAGTTCTTCGCTAGCCTCATGAACGTTTCTTTGTTGAAGCGATTAAAGAAACAACTGACGGCTACAGCAGACTATCACCACTTTTTGAGTAAGCGACGTAGTACATCAAATCAAAATGGGAATGATGAAGATGAAGATAGTACATCCCCGGAACTGAGCGATGAGTATAAATCTGAAGCTCAATTTCATCAAAAGCTAGTGACGTAAGGTTCTATGCGTATTTTTCTATCGACTACGTATTGTAAAGTACTGAGACTTATTCTTGTCTGCCATGACCGTCTGACCTCTGAATTACAAGGATGGTAGCAGCAGCAATAATGATGAATTAATGTTAGAGCACTTGTAGTTATATGATGATCACAGATGAGCTCAAATATTAAAATTGTTATTGTGCCAGTCATACACAAAGTATCAGATTTTTGTCGGTCAGACGTAAAGCTCTGTTCATACTATCAAATCTCTTTCACAAAAACGGTTGTATGTATGACAGGGCTTTACACACCATGTTTGATCAAACTTCCAACAGAAATGTTTTGTTTAATCAGATAAGATGAAAATTACTGCACTGAGTAAAGTATTATTTGACTTCAAAGAGACATGTATTACCCATAATTTGTTAATTCTCATCAAACATTGTCTGTTGTCATGTATGCCATAATTTTATTTTGTAGGCTGTATCAAACATTTGCTTTATGGATTGAAGAACCACTCCTGCATGATCCACAGCTCTACCTTCCATCTCTTCCACAGCAATATGACGCTGAAAAGCTCAGGCTAGCATTCAATGATGATGAGGTAAAATGCAATATTATTAATGTCCTATTGAGGGCGCCATTACAGGGGAATGATGTTAGGTCTACCCTAAATAATAAAATACTGCAACCTTTTCATTGCTCTCCATAGATTTTGATTTCTTAAAAGGTATAATGTTCGGGAGAAATATAAATACCATATTTATTTGAATAAATGCCCTGCTTTGAATAAATGCCCCCTTAAATATATCTAGAGCTTTATTTGGAATAAATGACTACCTCAAATAAATGCAAATAAATTTTTTCCTTGACTAAATCAGAAGATTCATAAATAATACTGTTCCTGTATATTTTTTGCAAAAACTCTGTAATTAAACTGGTAATCAAATTAAGGATTTTTGTATTAAAAAGTTTATTAATCAATGCCTTTAATTAGGAATTAAATGTTCTCATTAATTTGATTAATCTTTTTGATATACAAGTAGAAGCGGTTGTCACAACAATTGTAGCTCGGACTCTCAACTTAAGGTCGGGGTTCGGACCTTCGTTGTGCAAGTTGGTTGTGTCCTTAGGCAAGACACTTTATCTACATTTGTCTCCATCCAGGAGTATAAATGGGTACCGGCATATGCTGGGGAGGTAAAGCAGTCTGCCCTTTCGGGATTAGTTGCGAACCTTGACACCTTTGAACATTCTGGCCCAAACACCAAGGAAAGAGAGATGGGCACTCTGGCCTGTGAGTCCAGAACTTCGGGTTTCGACTTTTACCGTTACCTATTTGATATTGTTGTTTAATTGTTTTTGATTTCTCTCTTTAGCAACCTTGGTTAGAATTTGTTGACTCCAGCCGAGTTGACTTTGAAATCTTACAGCATGTCAAATTTTGGATGAAATTATCAAGTTCTGACGTGCCGGATATTGGCAGTGGGTCAATTAATGGCCAAATTGAAACAGGTACTTTCTAAAATTATCAAAATATGTATCTTCTGGAGATTTTTATTGTATCTGTTTTTGTTCATTATGACAAACATTTAAGATTAACATGTAGGCTGTAAAATTTTCAGTCATTCCAAATGGTTTATTCAGTGCAAAAAAAACATACATGAATTTGGATTCTAGGATTTATGAAATAGACTACACCATTACTGTTGATTTGCATAAATTGTGATTTGGGTTTGTGTCCAGTTACTGTAGATACAAACATATAATATTGAGAACTGAATATACTCTACTGACTTAGCATATATATTTCCATCATGATTTTTACCTGTACTTCTCACACTTATTTCTTACTGCCAGCTACGAGTAGAATTTTGAGCCACCTTGAAAGTTACGACAAATCTCAGGGCCCGCCAGAAGTAACGGCGACCACAGCGCCAGTACCTGAAGTGCAACGTGCAATGCTATTATCGGAAAATGAACTTATTGCCAACTTACATCCACATTTTGTATTGCTAGTAGATTATGCAAGGTAAAATAGGGAATAATATTTATCAAGAAGTATTGTATTTATTGAAATATTAATTTTGGCAAAATTAAGCTAAAGTATAAGTTTGTTTTCCTATTGTTTATTGTCATTCATACCATTCATAACATGTGATTTCTATTTTTCCCCCCTTTCGACCTTTAACCTCAATAGCTGCTTTACCAGAAGAGAAACGCTCCATGTTAGTTTAGATTGTACATATTTAGAGTTATCACCAGAATTGCAGTTTAACCAAACTATTGAGGTAAGTACCTAACTACATACTCATAATCTTCAAGGTCTACAAATATTCAATCCATATAGAAAATTTTGTTTAAAAAAACTACAACACTGTTATTTTAGTTAAAATAAAATAAAAATTTAAAAAAAAAATAGTTGTATTTCAATTATGTTCCAAAACCTGCTAGATACGATCATTAATTTTTACTGCTATAATCATAATAAAATAGCACTATACAAGAACCGAATATAGTATTATCGTTATTAATTTTTTTAATTTTGCTCTGTTTGATTACAGAGAAGATTACGTATTCCGTGTTCCAGTACTTTTAACCCTACACACCGTTGTGACGGACCCGCTGTAGTTACCTTAACAGTAAGTTACGTCAATATCATAGTACAACTATGTAACATTTGTTAATTCTATATATATAGTTATCTCTATATATCTATACTTTATAATTTGTTTCATTGATCAGTGTTAATAAAAAAAAAATCAGCACTTTTGTTGCAATAGACAGTATTAAGTTACGTCAATATCATAGTACAACTATGTAACATTTGTTAATTCTATATATATAGTTATCTGTATATATCTATACTTTATAATTTGTTTCATTGATCAGTGTTAATATAAAAAAACTTTTGTTGCAATAGAAGGTTTTTACATTTTAAAGCTCGGCCACTGAAATGTGCTATGCCCATATTTGGGTATACTGTAACATATACTGTGACATCATCATGCCCATATATGGGCACACCACACAAATTTGTCACATACAATTTTATAGTGTTAACAGAGACTAGAAAAATTAAAAAATTAAATTCTTGCCTTGTGGCTCATATCGGCTGGAGCCCCAATTTTACAGAACTTACTCTTTACACAAGGAGACTGCTCCCACTTTACTTCTTTAATTAACATTTGTATTTTTTAATATAATTGCGATTCTTTCCCGTTTTCAGTTTAAAGAGAAAAAAGTAAACACTTCAATATTCCGGAAGTTGGAAGAAAACAGAAATGAGTTTATGAGTTTGTTAGAGGAATCGCAAACACCCCCGGCAGATGATATTGTGACAGCAGCTGTCTACATCGAGAATACAATCACGTATGTGAAATATTGGTTTGTTAAAATGATCGCACAGATATAATCATTTAACGTTCTTTTAATCTGCCTCTCTTGGATAAGCGCACTCTCAAATATACTTTGCACAAGACATGGTTATTCACTAAGCATTTATTATAAATTTATTTAAGTATATTGTATGTCATAGTGCTTAATCAGGAGTACACGCCCAACATGCTATGATGGTCGGTATCATTGTTGATTTGTTTAATCCCTCGGCACTGCCACTTTCCCCTGCTCCTCTCATTAATCAAGTTGTTTTGTTTAAACAAATACCTCTTTGAACTTGATTATTTTTAGTGATTTGATAAACTTCAACCGTGCATCCCAAGGAGAAGAATATGAGAAGAGCAAGAAAACAGGCATTGATTTATTCTATTACTTCGCTAATCGTACAACTGAAGATGTTCGGCATTACCCACCTACGCGTCAGTTCTTCTCCTCTTGTATTGAAATATTAGGGCAGGTTAGTATATGGTTTCACAACTAATTAAACATGATGATAATAGTATTTATTTCATATGTGAAGGTGTTATTAGAGTTTTTGTATTTTACTTAAAATTTGATCAAAGTGTTAAAAAAATGTACGTCGTAAATAGGTTGGTGGTATAAATGATGTAGTTGCTCTAAAATTCAGTTTTATGCCATTTTGGTTTAATTTTTTTTTGTTATTGTATCAAGTTAGTACCACTTGTTCTATAGGTTCTCTGATTAAATTTTACATCTTTAAAATCTAGTAAAGATTGCGTATTTTACATAATATCTCTTGATTATTTTTTATTATTCCATACATTATCGTTATCTGTGTGTTAGCACACTGTGTATTTATCAATTTATTTGGAAACTTACCTTTGCAGGAATTCATAAGGAATAACCCAGATCAAGCTAAGCCCTTGCTGCAGCTCATCATCAGCAACCTGGTTCTTGCAAATCTACTGTCACCAAACTTCAGGCCTAGTGCCTGTGCAGAAGACTTTGTTGGCATGTACGGCGAGGTTGTCAGCGTGACGATGAATGCTAGTCAAGATTTGGCTGTGATGCTTCTGACAAAAGTATGTAAAAAATTATTGCATTTCATAGAAACATTTTTTTAAAAGAAATATTTTGTAAAAATTAGATAAAGGTAAAATATCTGATAATAGGTTTTATTATAGCCAATAATGTTTGTGTGCGTTTGTTGCCCAAGCACCTGGCCCCACCACGGGTCAGTTAATACTCGCCTACTTTTATTCTATATCATGCTGGAGGGCCAAACAAGGATTTTATATTAGGAACGGCACAGAACCAGATCTTCAGAAAAAAAAAAAATATCATTTCAATCTGTGCATGTATATTTTGGGTTAAAGTGCATCAGAGCTCTGGCAGCTTGCACTATAG